GAAAAAGGCACTTCCAAAACTGTGGCATCAAAGATGGAAACATAATTCATGTATTTAAAAATTGTATTTCCATCTTTGTTGCCACAGATTTGGAAGTGTCTAAAATGATTGTACGCATATGTACTGGTATTGGTGTTTGGCGATTATTATTATTTTTTTTTTATTATTGAGTTTTCCCAATACTTTGGGCAATATAGTGTATGTTTGGTGCGGTAGGGGGCCCAACCTCATATTCTTTCATAGGGCCCAAAATTGCTAGCACCCCTGGTTCAGAACATCAGTGTTCAGTGTTTTAAAGAGCTGCCCACATCATCTGCCCAATATATAAATATACAAATGTGAAAAGGTTACAAAATGATCTTCCACCATCATGAATCTAATTGGCTTGATGTTAAAAAAGAAAGAGTCATAAGACCCATGCATAAGATTTAGTCAGATATGACTAGATAGAATGATAGGTAGAACGAGACAGACAGTCAGATAGACAGATAGATAGATAGATAGATAGATAGATAGATAGAAACAAAGCTAAACATGTCACATATCTTTGCAAAGCTGAGATTCTTGTGATATGAATGATGCAAACCACTTTAAGATACAATCATTACAGCAGGTACAATCAGTGTCTTTGTCAGACCGCCAACAAGGCTTCATGCTGTGATCCCATTGTGTTTTCCAGCTAACGGCTCCCAGCTATAGTCATCTGCAAGCATCTGTTTACAAAACAAATGTAGGCGAATGTTTTTTTTCCCTTTTCAGTGTGTTCAAAGTTCTATTACTCAATACCAGTAAGACTTACAGTGATTCTGAGATTTGTTCTGTTTAGGAAGTGTCACCATTCAAAAGAGTCCAAAATCATGCATATACTCCAAATGGCTCAAGAACAGCATGCAATTTACTTTGGGTATGACTTTTTTAGGCGTTTTAGGTCAATTTTACAGGAATGCCAAGGGGTTAATTAAGACACGGAACAGGTTAAGTAAAATATGCTGAAAATATAATATCGTACAAATATTTATAAACATGCTATAAATAAGACTGCAGTTTCACGTTTTGCGCTTGCATAACAAAGTAAATTATTTTTAACATGCAATGATATGAAATATAACCAAACAAGACATGTAATGAAGAAAAATATTGACAAAAATTAAAAAAAATAAAATAAATAATTAAATTTTTTTAAATAGCCGTTGCCTTCAAAATATAAGCAGTGCGTTTGTATTGCGTGCACCTAACTACATCTATTTGTTTTTTACTTTTAATTTACCAATTACCTCACGCGGGCCGGTCAAGGATAGCCAGAGGGGCTGTACAATGCCCAGGTCTTGTGTATACCAACTACAGGGTTAGTGATTTGAACTTGAAACTTCAAAACAACATGTTAAAACACATTCGGAACACCCTAGTAACCACCCTGAACACCCATGCATTGTGTTGGTGACTTTTGCATGAGCAAACAGCACTACAGTTTCATAAAATATAAACCTTTTGAACTGGCCTGAGGCTCATTTCTGGTCTTCTCATTTATATGCCACCAAACAAGGTTAAAGAGGTTTAACCTTGGTTTTTTTAAACCTAAGGTTTAAATTCAAAGCATGTTTGTTTTATCAGTTTCTAAGTGTGATTGAGAAGAGCGCCGGTGTGAGTATCCTCTCAGTGAATAAAGGCCTGCTTTAGCTGATATGATCCCTGGCAGAGAGCAAAAACAGTGTGGCGTCACACAGAGTTGTTTATCAAATCCAGCGGTGACGTCAGGAAAATAACCGACAGCCGTAAACATCCTGTCAGCCCAAATCCCCGTTCATGGAGGCGTGCAAACAAACACACCCAGGGGCTCCATCACGCGATCCAGAAACCCGCTTCACAGCTCTGCGTGTTTACCTGAAAATCTCCCAAAAAATGTGACGGGTGCATTTTGCAGTCCTTTGTTATTAAGAGTCCCCTGAACGCACATACCATGACCTGTCGAGACAGGAGACCGACGGCTGAAAGTCAAGACGATCAGCTTCAGGGATGCGAAGGGGTGAAAACAGCACTTTTTG